GGCGAGTACTGGAAAAAGTGGTATCGGTGCATCCCTACTTTTAATATATTTTCTTTCTAATATACATGTCTTTCTCTGTGTAATATTTGTTTAGGACCCTTTAACCATCAGATTGCTGTGTATTGTCACCAGATTGATGCCATAATAAAGCAATAAGCTCCAAGAAGCCGTGGTTTAACAATGCCCCTTAGCTGTTATAAATTCACTGTAAACCATGGCTTCACGGGGATTATTGCTTTTATAAAACGGTTATTCCATATACGTAGTAAGGTTTCACAGAATAAAGCAGAGCAAATAAAGTGTAATGATATTAATAAAAACAGTATTCTTCCACCAAACAATGTAGTTCCTCTGAAACAGTTGTGGTTGCAACAAAGTGGTTGCTGTGCAGCACACAAACGTAAACAAAGGTGTATGTTACTTACTAATTTACAACAGCTTCGAACATGGCTCAACCAATCAGAATCAAGGACCGGAACTCTCCATTTTATAATGCCATTTTTCTAGCTAAAATCCCAAATGCACCTTTAACCTGTGTTATTACAGACTAATAATTTGTTTAATCCTGTTTTGATGTGACAGGACGAGCAGAAAGAGCTAGACGAGATCATAGCCAAGAGACAGAAGAGAGGCAAGAATGAAGAAGAGGCTCCAGCGGAGGAGAAGACCGTCCTGCACCGTACGACACACAACCTCAACAACAACATACGTGCAGCTAAATGTGTCTTCGGTCTGCTGTTGAACCGCTTTCTCTCCCTACCTGCAGTTAAAGATGCATATGATTATCAGGGCCGCTCGTACCTGCACGTTCCTCAGGACGTGGGCATCAACCTGCGCTCAGCAGACGTCCCGGAGAAATGCTACCTGCCCAAAAAACAGCTGCACGTTTGGACCGGACACACCAAGGTAGGGCCTTGTTTTAATGGTTAAATTAAATATTAGTAATCAAAATGCAATTAAATGAAACTATGAAACATACACAATTGAACCACAATTTATGAACAAAAAAAAATTTTTTAGGGCCTATGAAGTCCATTTCATTTTTTCACAAATTTTCACAAAACCTTTTTATTTTTCCGTTAAATTAATTCCATTTTAATTAATGAAACATACAGAACTAAAATCGATTTAGAAACATCCTTTTTATTTTTCTGAAAATTTGTTTGCCGTTTATATTTTTCTGAATTCTGTTTAATGGTTAAATAGAATTTTAGTAATCAAAATTTAATAAACCGAAATCATGAAACGTACACAAACGACAATTTATTAACAAAAATTAAATTTTTAGGGCCCTATGAAATCCACTTTATATTTTCTCAAATTCCTTTTATTTTTCTGAATTTTTGTGTTTTCGGTTTTGATTTTTCTGGATTCAGTTTTAATGGTTAAATAAAATTTTAATCAAAATTTAGTAATCACACGATTAAACAATTTTATTGCCTTACAAAATCCATTTTATTTTATTTTCTTAAATAACTTTTTATTTTTATTTTTTTTATTTCATGTTTCTGTTGAGTTCTGTTTTGTTGTAATTCTGTCTGGATTCTGTTTTTATGGTTGTTAAATTTTAGTAATTAAAATGTACTTAATTATTAAACAGCAGCTTATTACAAGGTCCTATTCCTCCCCCCCCAAATTCCTCTCTTTATTTTACAGAATTTCTTCTTTATTATTATTACTTTAAGAAGTACATTCTGTTGAACCATAGTAATATACTTAATTTAAACCAAAGTAGTGAAGATCTTGGAGTTTCTGTATATCTGCCGACAATTTAATCAGATGAAATGGTGAAATGCTGGTGAAGTGACTCTTGTACAGCCCTTCTTTTGATCTATTCATCCAAATTTTGCCAGATGCATTTAATAAATAAAGTAAATTCCCTTTTTATGACTGGATTCGGCGATTATTTTTCCACAAGGCATTAGCCGCCCATCATCATCATAGTGTGCAAACAGTGATGAGTTTGTGTGTGGCTGGAGTTCATGCTGCTTTATGAGGCTCTCAGTGTGTGTTTGCACCTCATGACACTCGCACACACACACTCACTCACACACTCACACACTCTCTCTCACACTCACACACACACTCTCACACACACACTCACACTCTCACTCACTCACTCATTCACTCACTCACTCACTCACTCACTCTCTCACGCACACTCACTCTCTCACACACTCACTCACTCACTCACTCACTCACTCTCACACACACACACACACACACACACACACTCACTCACTCACTCACTCACTCACTCTCACACACACACACACACACACACACACACTCACTCACTCACTCACTCACTCACTCTCACACACACACACACACACACACACACACTCACTCACTCACTCACTCACTCACTCTCACACACACACACACACACACACACACACTCACTCACTCACTCACTCACTCACTCTCACACACACACACACACACACACACACACTCACTCACTCACTCACTCACTCACTCTCACACACACACACACACACACACACACACTCACTCACTCACTCACTCACTCACTCTCACACACACACACACACACACACACACACTCACTCACTCACTCACTCACTCACTCTCACACACACACACACACACACACACACACTCACTCACTCACTCACTCACTCACTCTCACACACACACACACACACACACACACACTCACTCACTCACTCACTCTCGTGGGATGCGGAAACCTTTTATCCATCCGGAATTTTAAGAGACACATTCAGCAGGAAATGCTTGGAAAGGTCTGTCAAGATTATAAACGTCCAAACAACGTTTAGGGTTCAACGACAACTGAAGATGTGAGAGATGATTAAAAAATAAGAAATAAAAATCCAATTTAAAATGCGTATGCCATGTTCTTAGAAATGCCATCTTTGCATTGGTGTTAGTGTTCATGCATTTAAGTTGTATTAAAATCTGTTTGAGCTGAGAAAACGTTATAGGCCTACAATGTTATATAAAATAGTATGTAATGTTAATAAAAATCTTTTTAAAATTCTCAAAGGAAATGTGAGTGAAATCATTAATATATCTGATCATATATTTATAAACCGTGCGTGAATACTTATTAAAATATTGTATGTTGATATTACTCAATTTAACTTGAGAAGCATCAATTTTTTTTTAAACTGTATATATATATATATATATAATGACTATATTTCTCCCTTTTTGCGATTTTAATTTTCCCCTTTTTGCCGTCTCTGGACCAACAAAACATGAGTATCAAATTTACTTTTAATTTCATTCAGAAAACACGTACATCAAAGAAGGCGCGTATTTAAGTTCTAAATAATAGATCCAAACAACAACAACAAAAATGAGCATGATGTCATTCAACCTTAAACGAAATAGGTGCACCTATACCTCGCGCAGAAAACAAGAAAGTTACAGCAGAGAGACGTCACAGCACACGATACTGTAACTCCTCAAAGAACCACCAGAGGGCGCCACTGTACGCACATTCTGATGTTCACTGTTCACTGAGAACTGCACTGTAATGAATGCTGCCTAATAACATGAGACACTAGCGATGGGTGTTTTATTTTCACACGACCGCGTGACATGTGTTATTATTAAACATTGATATTTTGTGTTTTTATCTAATTTTGTGTAAAAAAAAAGTCTTAACCTTTGAGAGCACAATCGCATAACAAGTCACGAAAGTTTTATTTGTCACATGAACGAATAGTATCGAGGTTTGTTCTGCTGTGTACTTAACGTTTTGACAAATGTAGTCATTTTTGGACGCTTTATGGTCATTTTTTATCATAGCGATATTCTGGTATCTTTCTCAAACACATTTAACCTTTGTTTAGTTTTATTGTCTGCTTGGCTCATTTCCATGCAAGTAAGACAGTAGGTGTTGGATACAAACGACCTCATCACTCAAAACTAATAAGATTTTAATAATACCTCATTAATAACTGTCATAGCAGTTTTATGACTTAAAATTGCCTTTGCGTAGGCTATTCAAAATATGCACTTTTTCATTTATTCTAAATTACGCTAAAGCTAATTCATTAGCATCATAAATTAATAATATCCGTGTTTATATGAATGCTGTATTTAAACCTCGATTCCCTGGTTTTCTGTTGTGTAATTGATGCCAGATGGAGAATTTGTCAGGAAAAAATATGGGGCAGCGGCTCCCTGCCAGTCCATTGTGAATGTGTGTCCACAAGCTAAATAAATTAATAATTAATAAATTAGATAAATTAGCCCACAAGCTTTATAGCAGGTGTCAGGAAAGATGTTTGCATGAGACGAGATCAGAAAAGCAATGTTTAGGGCTCAGAATAATCTGTTTGGTCCAGGATGGTGTTCGCAGTCTTTGTTTTTCAGGGTTGGAGTGCTGTCGGTTTGGATTTGATGGATAATAGTTGTCGTGACTCGTGCCAGTGGCCGTGGGCCTGGAGGAAGAGGAGGGGACCAGCTGTCTGTACATGCTCCTGTCGGTCAGAGAGACCAGATAGATAGATAGATAGATAGAGAATCTGCCATTATAATCAGTGTAGTGCTTTAGCTTGGTCAGATAATTACTTGTAGCTTGAACCTCTATAACCCTGTTGACCTTTGACCCTGCTTCCACAGGGGTCACATGTCAACTGTCCACCTTACTGTGGGGACACCAGAGGCATCCAGCTCACAGCTGTCCACTAACGTCCATTTCAGCACACAGATGATCTACACGTTCAGTTCAGGAATAAAGCATTATGTAAATTAATTAATTTATTTGAAAAATGAACCACCTATAAAACAAAGCTAGGAAATTGGCCCTCAGTTAAGTGTTCTGGTCATATTCATCTGTGAAAATCAAACAAAAAAATAGGAAACTATCTATCTATCTATCTATCTATCTATCTGTCTGTCTGTCTGTCTGTCTGTCTGTCTGTCTATCATCTATCTAT